GGTTCAGTATCTTGCTCAAGGATACTTCGACAAGTGGCAGGAGGAGCCGGGGATCGAACCAACAACCTTCTGATTGGGGGACGACCCACTCTGCCTCTGAGCCACAGCCGATTGTATAGGCCACTTAACACTCATCCAGGTCAGGTTAATGATGGCAGAGGGGCAACCCTCTGGAGATTTCCAGGCAATCAAAAACTTAGCTAGTACTTCCTGCAACTTGCTCTTGGTGTACCCCATGATAGTCATTTCGCAATTGGTAATCCTCAAATTCAGGAAGGCAGCCGGAAGCATCACCTCCTGGTACCCCCTCAGTGTGAACTAGCAGTAATATAGTTCTGTGATCTGACTGGTTGTCACAAGTCCATCTCTGTTATTGCGTTGCATTACAACCTTTAAAGTGATAAACAAGAACTACTTTAAGCCAACAGCACTTTGCAGCTATTCCAATGACAGAGTTTTCCAACTGGATCTATTTAAGCTCTTCCAGGGCACTCTGGGTTACAGTCTTTGCAGTCCTCCACAAGGCATTGCTCGCAAATAATGATCTAAAAAACAGTATGCAATGAGGTTTGATGAATCAAATCAATCGATACATGCAAAATCACAAGATTTTTTTTATTTGCTTTGGCTTTTCAGAAGAAGTATGTTTTCACCTAAAACAAATATTCAGAAGAATCCTTCTTCTAAAAAAGATGCCAAAAATACGTAAGCTATCACATCATTTAAAATACAATGCTGAAAAAGTTTCCAAATGTGACTGTTGATATAAATACTAAACTGCTTTTTTGTGATTTAGAGGTTTATTCCTCAGAGAATATCCAGCAGACAGTGCAGCACCTACTGTTCCACAGATTGATCTAAGCACTGGCAACAAACCGGTCTACTGCCTCCAGTACTCAGGTGAGACAGTTTTGCTGCTGCAGTACTGACCATACTATGAAAAACACAATATAATCATATGTTTAAATGAGTGGCCAGTCAGTGATATTTTGAAAATTCTAAAACCATAGTGTATTACCTCAGGCAAAGTAGTTATAAAAATAAGTATGAGTAGACTGGGACAAGAGTTGGAGGATCTGAGGTGTTATAGTCAGAAATTATATATAATAATAGAAATGGCCTAAAGTAGACAGCAAATGTTGTTGCATCTGCACTTGGAAGAACCACCCCATGTGTTAGGACTGCCAGATGGTACTCCATGATACTACACTACTACACTGACTTGTGAAGACCTGAATTTTTTAATACTTCATCAGCAGCAATCAAAAAAGAGTTATAAACTGCAGCTAGTTTAGTCTGTCCTCTACTGGAAGGGTAATTTAAGCTGAATAACAATTTCTGAAGTATGACAAAACAACTGTCCTTAATTGTTACAGAATTATATTACATTTTAGGATAAATGTTCCTGTTTCAGACAAAACACCTCCCTGCTGTTTAAAAAAAAACACTTTCATACTTTAGGTAATAGTAAATCAGCTGTTGAATGAAAAAACGATTCTGTGTTTCCTTGTCTCTCCCAGGTGACGGAAAACAAATCCTGTGTGGTCTTGGCGACAGCTCGGTGTTATTGTACAAGTCCTCCCTTACTGGCAGTCCAGCTGTCTACACAGGTGCATGAAGTGAAGTATCCATACCTTAAAAGCCTCTGAGTTAAACAGTATTTGTCCTCAGTCACCTCAGCATTTCTTTTAGCAGTGCATTTGAATGTTCTTTTACTAAAAGGATTCATTTTATGCAAAATGTGTGACTTTTCTGTACAATAGGGCTGTATTAATGGACTCTTTTCAAATTATGCTCTCATTTTGCAGCTATTTGAAGTGAAGATCTGATGTTTTTATGAGACTAGGAGGATGTTACTAAGAAGTTCTTCCTCAGCTTGGATTTAGGTCTGCTTTATTTGGAATATTCTTATTAACATACTTTGAAATAGGTCCATGCCTTAAGATCAAAGACTCCAGGAAAATCCAGATATTCACTTACTCAGCTTTCAGTGTCAAAATTGTAGATAAAGAGTTCTCCTTTATCAGAAAAGCGTGGTTTGGTTAAATTCCAAAGTCAAAATTTGGTACAGACTGTCTTTGTTTTTGTCAGACAGTAAAAACCTAGGTGATGGTAAAAAAAAGAAAGATGAAAAGGGCACATTGTCTTTTGAGACCAACTAGGTTTAAACATATATAATTTCTCACTCCTTCTACACACTATTGAAGTAAAATATTACGAAGAATGATCCTGGGCATTTAAGTTCACACCAACAGGCAAAGAAAGGATCTCCATGCATGTCAAGCATGTGTTTCGCACTGGCTCAAGTAAAGTGGGAACACAGTGTCCACAAGGGGGTAGCAGAGATAAATGGACAGAAGTTGAGGTGACCAGTAGGTCACCGTGAACCTCCTCTCTTTACTCCGCTTGACTCTCTGAACAGTACCATAAAAGTAAGTGTTGCAACTACACACACTGTATTTCCAGGTTGGTTTCAAACCACTATTTATATGCAGGGCATGACAAGCCAGTGAGCAGTGTAAGCTGGAGCCTCAACAGACAGTGGTGGCTAAGTGCGTCACAAGACCAGTCACTCCGAATCTGGACCCAGGGCAGTCCAGAGCCTGTCATTATCATGGTAAATGTCTCATTCATTCACTAAGAAACACTTTTTGTGTTTTTTTTTTTCTTTTTTATGGATTTCATTCAGTCCCTGTCGCCCTAATCTTAACCATCACCGCTAAATGCACCATTAAGCCTTAATCAAACCTTCACTCACTCATTGTTCTAAGCCCAAGTTCTAACCATAAAAAACGGTGAAATGACAACCAGCCAGAGTGACCTCATATTGCAAAAATGTCCTCACACTGAAGATCTAAAAACTCAAATTGGTTTCAAAGTAAAACCAAATAACTACAGACACATGCTGTACACATTTTTTACTCTCACTCCTGTCTACTAAGACGGCTATGATTGCTGGAGAGATTTTGTCCCTAATTGTAGTGTGTGTAAATGAGGCCACACTTGAATGACAGTAAAGCTACTGTATCCCCAATGTTTTGGTCATGTTTTAATTTGTTGTTCTCTAGAACATGTTTTACACAGTATAATGTCTCAGGTCTGGATACTGCATCAAGAGATGTGTATTGTATTAAGGGTGCACTGTATTATTAAATATAGTGGTGTAATGCAGGTAAGAAATGTTATGATAAAAATGATCTATTTTGCTTTGTCTGTAACTCATTAGAAAGTGAGTCACTGTGTACCTTTATAACTTCTGCAAGGGAATTTCTGTGTAATGTTCCAACTCTATCTTTGACATATTGATATGAAACTCACTTTTTCCTTTTCTAATGAGACTAGCCTAATGGAATTAAAAAAGAGAGCCAAATTAATTGAGATGATAAAATGGTGTGTATATTGGCTCAAAGGTAGTGACTTTGTCATTCTAAGCATCTGCTGGACTCAGAGCATCCAAAACTCTGATCATATGCAGAGCCTCCTTACTTCATTGGGTATCACATTTAATGGGACAGTCAGAAGTGTGTCTACTTCCCCATGCCAAGTGAAAACTCTGGGGTCTCCCCAATAGCTGATGCTAACCATCCCTGCTTTGCTCCACTCGGTGAGATAGTTTTGAGCTTGGCCCGATCTCCAGTCTTTGACTACTTGGTGTGCTTGTGAAACAACTTGGCAAACAAATGTAAGTCTTTTCAGGGACAGGAACTCTGCCCGGGTGAACCAGAATTACACATAGCTTTGCAAAGTTATGCTTGAAAACTCTATAAAGAAATAACCACATCGTATTATTAAAGTGCTTTGTCACTGGAGGTCCAGTAGGAGTAGTAGGTCTGTCAGGACAACCCATCTGTTTGCTTATTTTACTTTGATAGACTCTAACTATGCAGTTTGGGGATTAATGAGAACAATGTTAATGCCCTATACTAAAACCGTTTCTGATAACGATGTTTTTTCTTGAGTTCACTCCCTCCTTTTGTGAAACAGATTTTCTCTGAGTCGCTTTTTCCATGTGTGTGTGATAAACGTTGAAGACAAGAAGACATTGGTTGTTAGTGTTAGAGCACCATTCATACCAAAACGGGGTATCTGGGTTTAAAGGAATAACACAGACAATATAATGTGCAGGTTATCACTACATAGTTGGGGGTGTAGCACATATAATTTTGAGCAATAGAAAAGCTATAGATGTGTACAGTACCTACTGTTACAGCTTTTTATTGCTTTCATAATTCAGATGTGACTTTGCTTTAAATCACCTTCAGGCAATATGGAGTATGTAGTCAGACAAAACTATTTAAGATCGAGGAGTTTTTCAAGATTTTTGTCTTTGTTATCATCAATGATGTTCCCCAAAATGAATATTTGTAAAATATAATATTTAGTAAATATATATTGTATATATAGTAAATATATAATATTTTCTTTATTATTGCTTGATTTTTGTCTCTTTTCTCCTTTAGGGCAACAGTATGTTCTCCAAACCCATTAGAAGTGCTCAATTTTATTACCTCGACAAATTTCTACTTCTGGCATCTGGGCCGTCTCTATACTTGTACCTGTATAATGTGGACATCACACGTGACAGCATCAAAAGGTAATTACAAGTGTGGATAGGGATGCATAAACTAGCTATGGGTTTTTATGGGTTTTACTTACAAGTGTAATGTATTATTACAATATAAAAATGCAAAGAAAACACTGACACCACTGTCTCTTTCTCCTTTGGTGTCAAGCTGTATCTGAGTTTGGCACACAATTAATACACAAATAAAACTATTGGAGCAATGCAGTTCACAACATAAATGCATGTTTTTTAGTGGTTAAAGGGACAATCAGCAATAACCTTTACTGTCAAAGCCTCAAATCATACATTGACCTACAGTATGAACACCCATTGTATTGTACTCTTTGATTTCAAAATATGTACTCTTGGGCTATGCAAAGATTGTGCAAAATAAATAACATAGTATTTAATGATTCTAGTGTCATTCCTGAAAGTCATTAGTAGAATACACCTGAAAGACATGTGCCTCACAGATTGTGTTTGGGTCCAGACAACTACAGTTTCTCTGTTGAGGCTGAAACATCAGAACATAAATATCAGATTGTGTTGCACAATCACATTGGCATGCATTCAAACCTCAAAGCTGCACGGTAGCACTACAGTCTTGTTGGCTCCTAAATGGTAACACTGACACATCGGGGGCTAAAAGAACATTAACAATACTTGCAGGGAAGAGAGGGATTCAAATTAATCATCTACCACTTTTTAGCTCCAGCTATTGTGATACTGACAACCGATGCAAAAACATCCATTGCAATAACATTAAAATGCAGATAAAAAGGGAAATATAAATCCAAGAATTGTGTAATCTATGTAGGAATGGCTTTTTCAAACAGGGGAATAGCTACCACAAACACTGCTGACACTCATTGCCCCCCAAACTTCTTGACTTGACTGTGTACTGTAAGCTGCCAGGGCTTGTTTTGTAGGCCAGGGAAATAACAGTGAAGGGTCTCCATACCCTCTTTTAGCAGTGCCAGCAGTTGCTGTTTCATCTATTTCCTCTTAAGGTAATTACTCGTGTAAGTAAAAACAAAATCAGTTGTAAAGGGTAGTGCTTCTTCATGAATTCTGTCCTACTGCCTGTCCTACAGATAGAGATGAAGAATGATAGGTTTGCAGAGTGATTTACTATTGATCATATAGGTACCTTTATTGGTTGAAAGAATCATACAACTTCTTCTTTTTCTTCTTAGATATCAGCAACGGAGCGTCGTCAAACTGGCAGGACGCTTTGCAACGACATCAGCAACAGACATCACTGCCTTGTCTGCAATCAGTGATTTCTTCTCTTGTATCCCTTTTCCTGTTATTGTTGTTTTTGCAGCAGGAAGTGTTATAGTTAGACTGCATTGATGCTTTAGAGACCAAAGTGAACCTATCCCATAAGTAGTTTTACTTGGAGCATCTCATTGGACCACTTCCATGTCTACCACTGCAATCAGCCTGTGCTTCATAAAGTCTTCACATGTTGCCTTGGGGCTTCCACTGCTGACTTTACATGTAAATCAATTAGGTGTCTTTTATTTTTCTGGAATGTCTGCATTCCCAGCCCCTTGTTAGGGTTTACAGTGCATTTATTTTCCAATAAATCCACTGAACTGAGCTGCATTGGGATGAGAGAGATCCTGTCAGGAGTCATCTTAACACCATTGTGCTTAGCACAGGCCAAGTGCATATAAGGTGATTTGAAGTCTGGATACATGGATATATAGATTAAGGATTTTTTTGTGTGTCATTAAAAACTCCATTCAGATTCAGATTTTTATAGAAGTAAACTGGGAGAGTGTAAATGGGCACCATGCAAAATGACACTCACCTATATAGATGTGCAAGAATCCTCATGCATTTAACTTGGTATTAAAGTAAATAAATAGAAAATTACTATAAAAAATGTGTTATTTAAAAAAATAAGTACTTTTATAATTTCATTCAAAATATCTCCAAGTAGAGTCAGATACTGAGTAAAACTTGAACATAAAAGACTATTTAGGAGGCAGAATACAACCATTTGCAAACTTGCAGATTACTAACTGACAGAAGCTTTATACTTTTGCATCACAGCATAGAGTGAAAGAAGCTGTCTGCAAGAAAAATGTATTAAGCTATCTGCTCAATTTAGCACTAGCTTCTAGTGCTGGCCACTGAAGAATTGGCATTAATTTTTATTTTTACCATGGAATGCTGACCACATAGATAAAATGTAGATATACTGCAATTAGTCTACAGCAGGCCTACAGTTTGTAATTAATAAATCTCATAACCTTTCCTAAAAGCTGTCTCAGACATCGTTCTAGTGTGCGGTTCAGATCGCTCCATTCAAGTATTTGACATGAACAAGGGTACAGTTGCCTCAGAGCTGCCTGATGCCCACAACAAAGCCGTCCACTGTGTTACACAGAACAAGGTAAGGCCTTTTGAATGTCCCTTTGAAGAAAGTCCAAATAGATATTTAAAGGTTGTATCTACTATATATTGCGTTGTCTTTATTATATTGATAGTAAGTCAATAAAGACTGTACTGTATACTGTATGTAAAGTGACATACAATACATGTATTCAATATGTGGTCTCTATGCATAGATTGTTCAGAGATAAGACATTGTGAAGTTTATGGAGCAGCATTTGATGTCCAGCATTTTAAGCCTTTACAATTTTAAGCCTTTACATTTAAAAAGAGTGGATACTTTAGAAATAGTTCTAGATGACAGTGAATAAATAAAATAAATAAATTTTTTTAGAGAAACTGAAGAAGAGCTTTACCTCTTGAAAAAATCTAAATATCAGTATTGTTTTCATCTCACAGTCTACAGCTTCTGCTGTACCATCTTACATCATTAAGACAGCAATTTCAATGAGTGTGATTCTTAAAATGCAAAATGTTTAATAATAATTGCATTACAGCATTTATTCTACTGTTTCTTTCATTGTGATCTGTGAAATTTTGCCTTAAACCCTGCACATTGCTATCCTGAAAACAGCACTTTTCTAGATAAAACAATTACTGAAAGATAAATCTTTATTGTTTTTAAAAAGTCACACCTGTTTTTTATGCTTCAGAGTTTTTGTCAAATCTGTTTGAGACTTGTTTCTCTTTTGTCTGACTTGAACTTACATTGACCTCTAATCTTTGTGAATAGATAGAGGCACAGACGTCTCATCACTCCACAGGCAGACTGAGTGACTTTTAGACCTAACCCACACAGCAAAGAATTTGCTTGACTTGGCATCAATTGGTAGTATGCGCCCCATCTTCCACTTTACTCTTGAAGGGTCTACTATTTGGCAGCTGTGATAGTGTAATATAAGACATCTATAGAGTTACATAAGGCACAGTTTGTCTTTGAGGGAATAAAAGCGTTAGTTTGTGGTGTGATTAAAGAAGGTCAAGGTAAAAAAAAATGTCATGGTTACCCAAAAGTTTCCATGACAGACAGACAGGACATGCCATCATCAGTACCATTCATCTTGCTGAGTGTTTGAATGTAAATCCCGGGTGCATCAGGATTAAGACTGCCATAGGAGATGGCAGGAGGAGATTCCATGCTGGATGATGGCCTTGGAGCAGTGCTGTTCCATGATGCAGTTGGGGTTTATGTGGCCTCACTCTCACATCACTGTCTCGGACAAATGTGGGCTCAATTTGCTGGTGTCTAACAAGAAGACAGCTTAGGCCTGTATCCACATCCATTATAGAGCTATGAAGTATGTAATACAAACTGAAGCTATAAATATCAGTGATAAATTTGGGCATTCGAGCCTGGGTTTTCTGCATATGATTTACATTTCTGTATAGCTAGCACAGACAAATGAAGGTCCTGGTTTCTCTCCATATATAGTCGTATGATCCATCTCACAGATACTTATATAACTTATAGAAATACAGAAAAGTGCATTTGTGTGAGAGAGAGGCTTGTACCCAGTGACCTCAGGGTATTGACGTTAGTCACTTCTGCATGTTGACCTTTGCATACTTGACACCCCAGGCTGGATTAGCTGGACACATTGCAGCTAGTGGCATGGATTAAGCGCATTAACCCATTCAAATGCGATGCACTCCTACACACAGCTGACTATACTCCTTCAGCCCAGAGGTGCCTGTTCTTTGTCACGCCAGCTATTGTGTGCCATGCATTGTGGAAAACCTGCAGTGTGTTGTTTCAGCTTGGCTATTGCGTCAATGTGGGGTCCTCCGCCTGGGTGCCCGAGGGCCTTTTGGATTCCCGTAGGGTTAATACCTGTGGATCAGAGGGATTGCCCCTGCCCGGAGACTGCACACATAACATCACTCTTCCCTCCCCTCTTGCTCTCTCGTCCCGATGCGTAGCAAACATCGGGAACTGCAGCATGTGAAGCAGCTTTTCCCACTTCAAATTTCCATCGCCTCTTCTGCAAAAATTCACCTGGAACTCATCAGAGCAGAGGAGTTCTCGGAAAATGGAACTGGAAATGCCCTCTCAGACTCCCGTTCTCACACTCTTAATGGAAATCTAAACAAAAAACACCCCCACCGCTGCTCTCTCTCTTTCCCTCACTCTCTCTGTCTTTCTCCCTGTCTCTCTCTCACGCACGCACACACACACACACACACACACTCCGCTGTATCATCTGATAACTTGGTGTGAAAGTCATGTATGGAACTTATGTATAGATGTGCAGTGGAAACTATATGTATTTATAGCTTAGAGTAGTGTGCTACATAAAAGATGGAAAATGACTCAAAGACAAATGAACAGTTTTGCTTCCATTTCACTTTTCTTTCCATCCCCAGTGTGCTTAGGTTGTCTTTAATCTCACCTCCTGCTTTAGTAACAATGCTACCTGGAATAATAATATAATAACTATTTGCCAATACAGGAAACACAGCAACAACATTTTCCAGCACTGGACGATAAGAGAAGCTGATTTACAACCTATTTCAGTCAAGCATGTGCTGACTAGTAATTTTTGTTTTTTGTGTATATTTCACAGGGCTCTATGTTCAGCACACAAGCGCCGGATTCACACAACCTCTTCCTCACAAGTGCGATCACGGATGGTGTGAAGATCTGGGATCTCCGTACACTAAGGTTGGTATTAATATTGTCTGCTCTGTTGGATTTGTAATCAATGCACCTTTAATGTGAAAATAAGGCCAGAAAAGTGTGATTAAAAAGTCTATGTCTATATATTCACATTAACTAAATACTCCTGTATTCAGGACCATTACCATACTGAATGGCAAATAGTGCTATCCAGAACAGCTTGCATACAATTCTTAAATGACTAAAGGCATTTGTAACACCTAACTTCTATTAGCATAACACAATATTCATGAAATATCTATTTTTATTTCTATTTCTGAAAGAAAGACCAAACCTATTACATTTACTGTGATAAATAAGTTTAATAAAACTGTTTGTACCCCATTTGTTTTTTGCCCGCTTTATAGTCTTAATCTCTGTACTCAGGCCTCACACTGGCTGGATGTTCATGCCCATTAAGGTAGAAACCATTATAGTTTTTTATTCCTCTGTTATTCCTGGAAGTGCAAACTGATCTTATATTCAAATTGCATCAACATTTTTTCTTACACAGACATTCCTCAGTTGATGAGTGAATCGGCAGTTCAATTTCCAAAGTATGTAGCTGAGAATATTTTTCTTTGGTCCTCAGTAGCAGATATCCATATAAGGGGGATAATTCAAGGGCTCCCTTGGATTTCAAAATGTTCTTTTTGGCCCGGTAGCCGGCATTATTGAGTATTTCATTCTTTCATGTCTGAGACTGCTTTCATGTTTAACTCCTCCATCCCAGACTCCATCAAAACCTTATTGCTATCTGATAAATATTTGTGCCTGGTTTCCAGGTCAACTTCTGGTTCTGAGAGTTGTCATCAAGCATCCCCCAGCAGATCCTCTGAGATGAAACATATGGATGTATGAAAACAATATGTAGAAGCTTTTTTTTTTTTTTTGTCAGCGCTGTTAATTTTATTTCCTTATGTATCTGTTCCTGTAGCTAATACGGACCAAAAAAAGAATTACAGCTCCACTAAATTAATGTTTTCTATGTATTTTTTTTTTATGTGCAGCTTTCTGCTAATGGGAGTACTTAAGTCAGCTCTAAGTTTTATGTTCATCAAAATTATATAACAGGGTAATATAAAAATTCTTGGAACAATGTGTGGCATGAGTAAAGTGTACATAATGTACTCATGTGACTGCTTGTCATAATCACATTATTTTATTCAGTGTAGCTTTTTCTTCTTTTTCTTCTAAATGCTTTGAGGCAGTGGTTCCCAACCTTGGGGTCGGGACTCCCACTAGGGGTCGCCAAAGCTTCATGGGGAATTGCGAGGCCTTCTTGATTTTAAGCGGTGTAAGAGAACTTAAAAAATAACTGCATAGTTTTAATGTAGCATGTAGCAAGCTAATGAGAATACTTAAAGTTACTGGGGTTCATTCCTTGAAACACCTGATGCAGTTATGTGCATATATTTTCCATTTTCCTCATTGTATTGGACTGGTGGCAGAAGTTAGCTGAACTGACCCTTTAAGGTATTTAATAAACTTAAATAAAATATTAAGAAGATAAAAAATTTGGTTTTTGAGCTATTGTAATGAAGTTAATCCAACCAGGAGCAAACTAAATTGAACTTGAACTTACCTAAGTTATACATAACTGTAGAAATTTGTAACATGAAATAACTCAATGAGACCAGGCATTCTCTCACAAATATGGCTGATTAAATATGCAGCCTTGTTTAGTTTGAAATACGCAATTTTGTCAGGGTCATTGACTTTTTATCAAGAAAAATATTATAAATTGTTAACATTAAGTTATTTTATGACTTATTGTGCTTGTCCATAATTATTTGTGATGAATGGTATAAGCCAAAGTTTATACTGTATATGGCCACTCTGAGCTAATGATAGTGTTGTTAATAGAGACACAACTCCATTGACAAAAGCTCTAAGTTGGGACAAAATTGTATAATACTGTTTAGTGTATTTGACCAAACTAGATAACCCCTGGAAAAAAAACAAAATAGGAAATTAAATTTTACTAAGTGGAAACTTCTGAAACTAAATCTTTATTTTATTTTGCTCTGTCACCTGAGAATCCCTAGCACTTCTTGCCCCTTCCTTTTCAGACAGAAGCGCAAACATGCACAATACCCATGTGTATCCATCAAAGATTGAATGGCTGTAATGGTTTTTGAAAGTTTGCCACACTTAAAGAAAGAGTTTTATAACCAATGTCAACCACTGACTTGGTCACAGTTTATTTTTTAAAGCCCCCACCTTTCAGTTACCCCTTGTATTTCCAAACAATGTGTTTAAGTGTGCAAGGATCCAGTTTAGGGGTCTACACACCGGCATTTAGCATAAATCCGACCCACTCAGATACTGATTCTAAAGATAGAGAGAACAGATGGTGATCTGTTTCTCTTTAGTTCAGTGATGTATTCCCCTTAAATCTAGTGGAATTTCCATCATCTTATAAATGAAAGTTGAGCAATACATTATATACATCATGTATTTATTTCAAATAACATCTAATAATGCAAGAAAAAGCAAGCTTTTGTCTGATTTGCACTGACACGGTTAAATTGGGTGAAATATATTGGCTTCAAGTAATGAGCTATGATTAGCCTGCTGATTGCCTTGATGACTGACACTGAATACCCAGGTGGATTCAGTAACCGTATAGGCTCCTACTCAAGAGGATCAGACCCTCCAGTGCAGTCTGGGTTAGTCATCAGGCAAATGCCGGATAGTCATCATCACTAACACAACACGGAGAATGTGTGTGGGGGATTCAGCCCAGCATCTCCTCTCCTCTCAGTCAAAACATTAGATCCACATTCTGACCGAGAAAACCAGATGAGTGTTTACTCTAACTTCTTAAACTGCTCCTTATCAGTGTGATTAATGACAGGTTGTGTCAGCTCGACTGCAGACCTGAATGTCCAGATGTACTGACGCAAATTTAGAAACAGATACTTCTCATTCATCTTGCTGTGCATGGAAATGATAAGAGGTCATGAGTAGCTCTCACACAGAAGTTGATATAACTCTGTTGGATATAAGTATATTCAAATTCAGGATATTGTTGCAAAGGGCTTAGCACTAGTCCTTCATCTCCTCAGTCAAGGCTAAGTCTTGTCTTGTGCATAACCCCCCCCCCGATTGGCTTCATTAGCTGCCAATCATGCCAAATCTGTCAGCCCCTGTTTTCTTTTTTTAAAAATGAATCAAGTGTATGGCCACAAACTCTTGCATGCATGCCCTGCAGACCCTTCCAGCACAAGTTTTTTTCCTCTTCAGTCAGGTGGCCATTTTTGCAACATTGTCAAGGCACTCCAGGTTTTTGGCTGAACCAGCAAAATCTAATGAGGTGTTCAGTTTCAGCCAGTGAAGCTTTGTGCCTCACTCTGTTGAGGGCCATCAGCATCATCAGATGAAACACCTTACAAAATTGAGTAATGCCAAGGAATACAACATCACAAAAATCGCCATAGAGTTTTAACAACAATTCAACATTATAAGCTTCATAGAGTTTGTATTATTGCTTGGCAGTTGTATTTGCTTGCACACTGGTACTGGGTATATCACATTTCTTAATGGTCACCAGTGAATATGACCTACTTTTAGTCCAGCTTAATGACATTAACATGTGAATGTCAAAGACATGCTCTCACCAGATCGTGTCAAAGCCCTGTCGGTCCCTGCCAGCATGCCAGCCCATATAGAGTCCCTTGCTCAGCTAGCTGTTAGTGGCATTGTAAAGACATTACATGCTGTTGCAAACCAAAACAAAACTGCACAGAAGTTGCACGAGGGGGCCATTCGTCATCTACTACCTTCTCTTTTTTGTGTTTTGCTTGAGTCATGCTCAACTCCTTTTCCCCGGCCAGGTCAGATGTTTGTAAAATGCGAGTTATATAGTGAATCACTGTTTTGTAGATTATAGTAATGTCTTTATTAAAGATGTCCCTTCTTATGTCACAGCCTTTCTTGGTTCAGGGGAAAATAATTTGTAATGGATTGAATTAGATTGTTTTTTATGAAGTATACATATTATACACTCTTAATATGTCCATTGCAGTAAATCAATACATAAATTAAATATATATATAGAGAGAGAGATTTAATCCTACAAGGATTAAGTAAAACAAAGATTGTATTATGACATCACCAGTCAGATATTCAGTCTCTCCTTCACATTAGGTTGGTTTTGAGTTAATTGACCCCATTAATTCTCACCATTGTGTGCATCTCCTCCACAGGTGTGTGCGCCGTTACGAGAACCATCTAAATCGTTGCCATCCATGCTTGTCAGCTATCTCACCATGTGGCCGGTTCATTGCCTCAGGCTCTGAGGATAACTGCGTAAGTTTTAATACTTTTTCCGTATACGCTGTGTGCATCATTATACCCTGTATACACTCCTCTAGTTAAACTGTGTCTCAGACAGTCAGGTTGTTGATAAGCATAATATCACAATGATCAGTCATTTTTTTCATTTATGTCAAATTGACATAAATGAATGAATTGGGGGGAAAAGCAATTGAGGAGGCTGTCCATCAAAGCCACATCATCCTGTGTTTGATTTTATGAGTTCAGAGCAGTGATGAGCAGCAACATATTCTTACTCACTACAGTAAGTTGTTTTATATATATTTTAAATACTTTATAGTGTTTATATTTTAATTGACCTTGTAAAGAGGAAGATGAGCATGAAAACAGAAGCATATCTTTATCAGTTTCACCTCCATTTAAGGTGAGGACTGCTTGTGCTTGACTGTGCTTGACTCAGAGATTTTTATTTGGACTCTAGCCTTTTTCCATAGAAGTCAAATTCAACATTCATGTTGAAGCAGAACTGCTTAATTGCTTTTCCAGACTGTGTCTTATACTTGCTTTCAGGACGTTTTCAGAAGACTGCCTCCCTTTTCCTTATCCATCTCTCTTTTCTTCTGGTGTACGTGCTTGTTGAAAGGAATGGAATAATATATGCATGCTGCTGGTTATTATTAATTACGGGGACTCAGCGCAGCACAGACATTTGATAGCATCTCTGTCGAAATCGGACATTTCCAACGTTTCTCGGAACTCGGGAGAGTGTATAGTAGTGAGGTACACCGTATTTATTTGTAGCTGCCCTGAGACTTTCAAAAGCCAGACACATTTGTACTTGTCTTAATATATCAAAAAGCAATCATGGAAAAAGAACCTGAATACTCTAGAAAGACTCCCTAGATCATATTACACACTTTCCAAAAACATAAGGCCAAAAGCAATCTAAGTGGAATATGATTTCATTATGGTCGATACGAACCTATTGTATGTTGAGTTGAAATATGTATTATTTTCACCCATTTTGACTTCCCCTTTTATCCTCTGACATGAAATTGATTATTTAGATGATAACAGTTTTCGTTTTTTAAATTGTAAATCGAGATGTATGCCCGATGATTTAGTTTTTATATCCCAGGCTGTATTGCCCCTGCTCTCCGCTTCAGTTACTTTTGATATAAACTGATACATCTGGGGATCCATGTGATATTTCAGCATTCCTCAAGGAACTTTTCTTCCAAGCATCTAATGCCCTGTTAGGCACCACACACGTCATATAACTTAGACAGGAGATACTCTACCCATGGACCGTTTGACAGAGCTCACTTGAAGAGGTTTTTCAGAGAAACATAATACAAAACAGCTGCAGGAATCTGATGAGTCGTCGTCTGGTAACAAACATCCCCACATCTGTTTTTATCTGTGCTTATGGCACTGAAGCAAACAATCTTGAAACCGAGTTATTATATTTACAAAAAAAAACTGTGCTAACAACCTGATAAAACATCTCACATCTATTCTATTTTAAATGTAAGCGTTGATTCTAAATGTCTACACAAACAGTATGCAAATGTGTTTTTGTGTTCCTAAGACCAAGTGTAAAATCCACACCTACAGGACGAGGCTTTTACTACCTCAAAGCAGAAAATAAGTGAAGAGTTCATTAGGATTGTTATCAGTCTTAATGACCACTAACTTTTGAAGTGCTTAGTATTTTAGTGCTATGAGTGTGCAACAAGCTTCATAGGCCAACAGTTTTTATCCTGCCAAAAAAGCCAGTGATGAGAATCAATATTACAGTATTATGCATTGTAATACTTGCATCAATGTACTTCATATCTCTTTTGAATTTGCTGCAAACTGTTAGGTCAGTTTTTTTAATGTGTGTGTCTTGATGGTTTAAATTTGATACTTGCATCTTGCATCTGTTCAATACTTTGTAGTGCAACTTAGCGAAACCTATTACAAGCTACTGTACTCCAGGGTGTGTCATTATACTGTGGCATTACTCTATGGCAAAATATCTGAAATGGCATTGTGCATCAGTGTTTAATGTTGCCTTACACAAGCAGTTGTATAAACACTTTGATCAGGAATCTTTGCTGATTTTAGAAAAACCAAACCAAACTAAGAACCTAGCAAGCATTTGATGCCAACGTTCCATACTTAACACTTTCCAATGCTACAGACATATTTTGTCCATCACTGAAAAAGTACTGAAACACTTGGCTAAAGATGTCTCCAGAGTCATTTGGGATAACTGATTGTGGCACAGTATTGCATGATTTTATGTGTGTGATTACTATCAACAAGAGTCTCACTGTCTCGCCAACCTCTGAACATAGTCAGAAACCATGAAACTGTCATCAAAAAACTGTAAACTTTCCTATATATAATTCAAGTGTTCAGACTGAATACTTAGGAATATGAATACTCTGTGGACCTCAAAATCAGAATCATTGCAACGCTGGAATAAGATGAGCACAAAGTTTTCCCTCTTAGATGAAACAATCCTTAAAGCAAATCTGCATTTGTGTCTGTTCATGTCTTTCCGTTCACTCTGTATGCAGTTGTACCACATGTAATATGTGCTTCTTGTTCAACCTGAACTCACCTGTGTATTGTATCTATTATGCACATATAATGAGCTCATGAACTAATATTATATAGGTTGATCATGTCCTATATTTGTATGCCACTGCATGGTTAGAGTTCATGTTCTTTTGTTCTTGCAATCCATCTCATTCATTCCAGGCTTATGTGTATGACATCCGTAGCAGCAGCTACCTCCACAAACTTCAAAAACACTCAGACACAGTGCTCAGTGTGACTTTCAACCCTGCCACACCAGAGGTAAGAACCTTTCTTTAACTTATGTCTTTGTGGTTCTGTCCCTTCCTTTCACTTGTTACTCTTCTGCTATGTATTCAGTGCCCCATCTCACAAAACTAAAAGATCTCATCATCTCAAATAAAGCACCAGCCATATTTACTCTTCATCCCACTAAGCTCTCACAGAGTAAATATTTTGTACATATTTAGTACATGCCTTACTTTTACTTACTGACATCAGATATTGGACAGCTAAAGTTAAACCAGAGTTTGACCTATGTTAACTCTGCATCAGCACGCAAGGGGATGTGCATACTGGCTAATTTTGATTTAGCACCACTCCCATACACACCCTAGCCATTACAACACCACTAATAAGTTAATTCCAAATATGGTTCTTTATCTCGAGCATCTCGAGAAAGAAATGTTTCAAAGCAAAGATAAGAGGTCACAGTGAAAAACAGTGTCAGTCAGAGGTCACGTTCTCTTCAGTCAAGTTTCTCTTAAGACATTGCTTCACTTCATAACTTCTTAAGTTTTAATAAAACATTTTTTTTTATGATTTCACTTTGGAAACGTAAAATACACAAATCCAAAATATACTCTTTTTTTTCACAAATATTTCATAGTGTCAGCTGGTTACACAAGTCTGCACTATCTTGCTCTTTTGCAAGTGTTTCTAAAGAAGGAATGATGTCCTCAGGCGAAGGTCACATAGCAGGGCTTATTGAGACCATCCCAAAGTTTAAAGTGCATCGTTGGACATTTATGTCAGTGACCTCACACAATTTCTACTAGTAGCCCAGAAAGAATTCAGTACGACGATTGAGAAATAATGAGAGGCTAAACTCTTATTAGCAATACTTACAGTATGTCTGGGATGTTGTACTTTTATGTAATTGTAGTGTGTGTGTGTGTGTGTTTCAATTGTTCTCATCCTAGAATTTCAGTGTGCAAACCCAAACAAAAATGCTGCTTGCATCTCCGAACACTTCTGAGACAACAAACTTTTTTTTAGTGTTAGCCTCCTGGACCAATACCATTTTAATTTAAAAATAATATCCCCCAAATCGCTCTGTGGCTTTAACCAGTGGTGGCCAGTTCATAGTCCAATCAGATAAGTACTACCGCTCTTCCGTGCCATAACCCTGTGGAATCTAGTGACTTGCTTTGTGCACTGTGCTCCTCTACTTTTATGACTGGCTGCCTGCAGGGTTGTTCCAGCTTGTGATTGGCTGTGCAGTTACACAAAAGATGTATACAGGGCTGTGCATGTTCAGTTCAGGAGCTGTTTTCCAACTTTCCTGTTGACTGTGGGTTTTTTTATTTAATTTTTTTACTGAATCCCTTTTTAGTTTTGTTGCACTGTGTCTAAAAGGATGCGACTGAGCCAAAATTCAATATTGATTGTATGAGGGTGTCAAATGTTGAAAATGCTGTCAGTGCTTCAGTTTGTTTCTGTGATGTGTCTGTTTATTTCAGATTGTCCCCACAATGGATTAAAAGCTGGTTTCCTTTCTTGGACTAAATCTAAACTGGTAGATATCCTAGAAATTCAGGGATTGTAGGGAATCCAAGTTTGCAGTGCTACTTCATACCAGTATCCATGCAGTGTCTCCAACAAAATCTCCAGAGCAATTCTTACAGAGCAACAAAAATTCCCTTTTGGAAATGTTTTATTGTCCAGTTAATGATTTTCCTTTGGAACTATTCAAAGCAGATTTGAAAAAGAAAGCTTTAAAATATAATATCACATCCTCTGCCGGACGTCTCATGGGACTTCTTGTTGACTGTCTTCTGGACTTGAAGCACATGTTTTAAATCTGCATGTCCATCTGTGTAACTCCATTCAGCTAAACTTTGCAGCACAATGATACATTCAGACTTCCAAGTTTGAAAGTGGAAAGTTTGATCCATGGCCATTTACTGGCTGAATTACAGTAATCTGCAGAGTTTGAAGACACACTTCATCAGTCAGAGCATGCTCACTCCCCATCACTACTTCTGCACATTCTGTTTTGTTAAGTAGGACATGTGGTCAAAGCAGAAACCCATTAAAAAATCAGAAAGGTTGGCTCTATTTGACTAATCCTTTCCACCACAGGTGTCAGCTGATCGATTAGAATATTAAGTTAATCTTTATCAAGATGAAAATGTATATGATAAATTAGTACATGAATGTGAACAGTTGCAGTATTACTTATCACAAATTATTTCCACATGGAAATCTGGAGAAAAAAAAAATCTAAATGTTCAAATTTGTGCAAATAAACAAAACCTTTTCTCTTCAGTGTAATATTATGTATGAGATTGAATTCATCTTTTTTTCTTTAATCTCCTATTGGCCATCACTTGTTTCTGTTCTCATATTTGTGTCATTGACCATCACATACTGCAAGAAACTGCCAAGATTTGAGCCGTTTGAAGTCATAAAACTCACAAATGTATGAAAAATACAGAGGGTTCCAGAGGGTCTGCAGCTAAATATAGAGCTCTGACAAAAATCAAGATTTCCCCATGAGCACATCCTGAAAGCATGCTAATGTTCCTAACATAGGATTTATGTTGTGTTGACACATAGTGACTGAGTGAGAGCTGCCGAATCATAAAAAACCTCAGTTAGGCACACTACCTGCACCTTGATGAGCTCTACCAGGGGAGCTATCCGGGCACCCGTGGGTGACTAGGATTTAAGTTGACCTTTGCTTTCAATATACTCTATATATGTTTACTTTGGTACTATAATTGCCTGACTCATTCAAAGCACAGAAATAGTTGTTCATGTTCATGTTCAAATAAACTTGTCTTGTCATCCTAACCAATATCCAGTTATACTGTAGTTTATTGAATTACAGCTTTTTATTACGCAAGCAGTTCTGCATTGGCAAACTGTCTGCTCTAGTGATTGTCAAGCAATTGTCTGAATGCAATTAGAACACGGCTGGAGACAGTCTTGTCCATTCACCATTGCACAGCTACCTTTTGTCTGCCCAGCCGAAGGGACAGAGCTGTTCTTGATCAGTGACTTAAATCAGCATTCCCTGTGGCTTATTTAGTATTTCTCAGGACCTCTTACAGGGAGGACAACTTCTTGAATTCTTGTAAAATTTAGATAAAACCATATGAAATCTATAGATTCACATTCTTTCAGATCTTCTTTTTAGTTTTCCTAAATTAAATTATGAAGAATCCCAACCTGAGGTCTACTTGCAAGCTTTCAACTGTGTCTTTATTTGTGGAGGAAGTTTACTCAGTTTTGTTATTGAGACGGATATGCTTACATAGCACCTTCTCGTCCATGTTAGCTTAGTGTCAAGGATTAAGGTAATTAATTCGTCATTGTACAACATAAGAAAGGACAAACAAATGAAAATTGTTGTTTGAGCACCATCTGGGATTTTGATAGAGCAAGTCTCTGTAAAGATGTGGACAGTCTCTGATTTGCCGTTGTTTGGCCAGCCTGAGTCCCATTTTGTCCAAACTGGACATTAGCCAGGAGCAGCCTTAAGTCAAAACTGGGCCAGCACGGCTCCTATTCCGGATCTCTTCTTCTCCTCCTGGGTCTAGGCGATAACAGCACCCGCCATGGTGGAATGGTTAGGCTTGGGTGGATCGTCTCAAGGTCTGCTGCACCTTAATCCAAACCTCTTCTTCCTTTCCCGATGACCGTAGGCTGTTTCTGTCATAAGTAATACATGTTTCAGCAATAAAGCCAAAAAAATGACAGATTAAACAAAGCCAAGTTTGAGGGAGCTACCAGCTGCTGCGTATGCGTGCGCTGCCTTTGCTATTCTGTCAAAATCTTCTGATCCAGTCGATTTGAACCAGTAGGAAATACGATCAGACATCATTCAGTGATGTTTCAGCAATAAAGCCAAAGAAAATAACAGATAGTTACAGTTTGTTGCTGCATCTACATGCACCACTGCCATGGTATACGAATTAAAGTTCCTACTAAAATTCCTCAGTAGGGCTGCATGATATGGTAAAATCATATTGCAATTATTCTGACAGATATTGTGATATGATTTGAAATTATTGTAGGAATGATTTTTAATCACAACTTTGATTTTCACTGAAAAAAACTAATAAAGTCATGATGATGTGAATTTTTGGGGGTCTGTAACAAATAAACATGTTTTCATCAGGATAACATGATTTGTAGGCCAGGACATCGCTTAAGAACTACAATATTTTATTATAATGGTCTTTAGTCACATATTTGACCTTTTATGTGGGTTGTTTTGAGACAGAAATATCTCATTCATCATTACAATTTGGTACTTGGGTGGGTTTTAATGTGATTAATACAGTTGTAAAGAACTAGTGAAATGTTGTTGACATCATTACTGCAGATTTATTTTGGTGCTAAACATTGCAGTGTCCTGTTATACAGCTGTCAGATGAAGCACACTGATGGCTTGATGATGTAGCCTCCTTATGCAACATTTCAACCTCATGACGTGGTTAGGCGTAGGAAACAGTAGTTCAGTTTGTGTCAAGAAAATCTTTATACAATATCTGTGAAAATGTGAGGATGTATTTCAAAGATGGAGTTGAATTCTAGAGTCCAGAATCTTGCTCCTTCAGTGCACTCATCATTAATATGAGCACTCTGCTTCATATTACTTAGCATGAAATTTATCATAGATACATACATAGAGAGTTACAGAAACCTCTACTTCACATTAACTGAAAAATATTTCTTTCCTATTCCTCAGACAGTTGATCTTCTACTGATACATTGAGTGCCTGGCTCAGCTTTGGGAGGCTGCTTCTAGTTAAACTTGATCCAGTTGATCTAATATCTGACTGCAATTGATGCATACATATTTATTTTTATTTGTATTTTGTTCTGTAAATACATTTGTAAAGAAGTCTTGGTAAATGCAATTGCTCAGCACTCTTACAGCTAAGGCCATGTTATATCATGATGGTAACATCACTGTATTTCCTGAGCCTGTGCTTTCTCCTTGCCAAGACCTGAAAAAATACTGACAAAAAGTGTCGCCAACCGGTGCT